CACTTGACTGTGGTCTCCAACCTGTGGGGCGGGGAAGGGTCTCAGAATAACTGTTTTAATAGATCAATTTCATATACAGCAACTTCAATACATTTGTTTCCTCACTGTGGCAGGTTAATGAGCAATTCCTCCGGCCATTTTTATGGTATTTCTAAAACCTTTGATAAATTAGACTTTAATCCCTGACTTAAGAAATAATTTATCTTTATATAAGGAAAGTCTTTCAGGAAAATTAGTTTACCAACAGTGTTTATATCATTCCCAGTTATTAGATACAATAACATAAAATCCGAAGGATAAAATACATACATTGAAAAGTCTTGTCCCAACATGGTCCCAATATGTTGAAAGAGTTAAAGAAGCACAATTGGTATAACAACAAAGAAATCCAAAAAACACATCTCCACAATGAAAAAATAAAAATTCTCACAATGATATCTTTGTTTGCCTATGATATACAGCTATGGAAAAAATGTAAAGACCAGTACACATTTTTCCTAAATCTTAATCTCTACATGTATGGCAGCCATTCCATTCCAAACAGACAATGTTGTCAGCAGTCTTTAAAAATCATTTGACTCAAACACATACCTATAAATAATCAAACCAGAGAAACAGATAATGCTGCAGTGGTCTCTTAATTTCTTCCAGAGCTGTATATTCTTTGTGTCTCTGGTAGGAGGCCCGAGTGAGCCGAGCAGTGGAGCTCATGGTGGCTCATGTGGAGAATGTGAAGAGACGCCATGACAGAACAGTGTTGGAGCTGGAGGAGACCAGGAGCTCCGTCCAGCCGCAGACCCCCTGCAGGAACCTCAACGACCCCAGAGCATCGCCAGGTCCCCAATATTCTGTATACGGGTGTTCATCTCATTCTGACATCATGAAGTATAATATATATATTTGACTGACTTTTTTGTTTTAGATCTGGAGGAAAGTGACGGTTTAGGCATAATCTCTCAGCCGGTATGCAGCTGTTTGGTTATAAAACGATTTTTTTCAGGAACCTTTACCTTTTCAACACTTTAATCTGTCTTTTGTTTATGGTATTTCAGAACATTAATCGTCGCAGAGTCAGCATAACACTAATTCACAGCCAATCCATGGTAAGAGGGTTCCTTTAGTGAACTGTTTATAAATGGTATCATCCAGTAAGCCAGAAGAGTGTCCAGTGGCGGGTCTAGACCAATTTGACTGGGGGGGGGCAGTACATTTCATGAGAGGGGCACAATAAAAGCGGGTTAAGAAGACAAAGACAGTGTAAAAGTAATTGTGTAAAATAAACATAAAATACAGTAATTGGTATTTGTTTTTGTAAAGGTATTTGCTTTAGTAAATGTAAGTTGCACTCCTTTATTTCAGTAGTTTATTTTATTTAGAGTATTTGTTTTAGTAACTTTAAGTGACAATTTAATAAAAAAACATAAACAGTATTTGCTTTTATAAAGGCATGGACAGTTTAATCTCCGCTGTAAATCCGGGTCTCTGATTTGATTTAGTTCCAATAAATCGTAATATTAACCTCTTTTTTGGAGGGGGGCGACAGGGGGGTCCCTGGTCAGTGTTACGGGGGCACTGGCCCCTGTTGCCCCCCCCAGAACCGCCCCTGAGAGTGTCACCCTCTTGTCTGTACAGGATAAGATAAAACGAGACGTGAAGAAACGAGCCACCAGGTCCTTCAGCAGGGACTCCTTCCTCCTCAGCTCACTTCCCCGCCTGAGCCTCGAGTCCGGCTGCCCCCCCATCCCCAGCGGCGACGCATACTCCGTGGATGACAGGTCACCTACAGTAGAGACTCAGCATCCATGTTTTCATCTGGGACACATGACCAGCATGTGGGCAGCGTCTGATTTTCCCATCGTCTGTTTTCTGTTCAGGCCACTGGATCCAGATGAAACTGCTTCGGAGGCTCCAGCTGCTGAGCTCCCTCCACCTCCTAACCCCAGCCCAGAGCTCCTCCCATCAAAACAACTGGCCCCCAGAAAGACAAACAACAAAAAGTATAAAGTCACACCACACTGAAGAGCCTGCAGTAAACATCACAATTGCCTAAACGCTTGATGATTCCTTTCTAAAAAGATTGCTCTTCTTTTAGGAGTGTATGTGAATCAAACTTAAGTAACAGCCATTTTAAGTCTATTAGAAAACCTATAGGTTACTTATGTAACCCCAGTTCTCAGAGTAACATGAAGTGAGAGGCCTCACTATGGGATGCGCCTCATCCGCGGAGCAAACAGAAGCATCAATCTCATTACGCCAATCCTGATTGGCAGGTGATCTTGATGTCAGCGTCAGGGAATCCACCCCCTATAAGTAGCTTGCGCTACGACGTCATTCAAAATAAGCACCTCTTCTCGCTTCACCATAGCAAGAAGGGCCGTCTGGTGAGACATCTCACTTCATGTTACTCTGAGAACTGGGGTTAGGTAAGTAACCTATAGTTCTCATTCGTAACACTCCGTTCGATGTCTCACTATGGGATATTGTAGCTCCCGTATTGCCAGACGAGCTTATCTCGAAAGTCACCAAGACCAAGCAGAACTTAACAGTTAGAGCTCTAACTCAGCAGGGGGCCCAGCACTGCTCGGGCCACACTGGGAGCAGAGACGTTTAGCCTGTAAAAGCGGACAAAAGTGAGCGGCGAGGACCAGCTCGCCGCTGCACAAATGTCTTCAATGGAAACACCCTTGAACAAAGCCCAGGATGTAGCCAGACCACGAGTAGAGTGAGCACGCCAACCCGGAGGTGCCTGCAAACCCTGACTCGTATAGGCCAAAGCAATCGCTTCCACAATCCAGTGGGAGAGCCGTTGCTTAGTAACGGGCTTGCCCTTGTGAGGGTTAGCCCAGGATACAAAGAGTTGGTCATTACGACGAAACTCTTTTGACCTATCCATATAGGTGCGTAAAGCACGAACTGGACACAGCAAATTCGGCTGCTGTTCCCCGGAGGGACACAGCGGCGGAGGAAATCTCGGCGTAACCATCAATCTCCGCGTGCCATGACGCGCGGGGTTTAGTCTTAGAGCGGCTACCCAGCGCTGAAACTCCCTCATGTGTAAGTGTCCCAGTCGTATGACCAGAATGGCTGACGCCATGAGCCCCAGTAACCGCAGGCATGATCTGAAGAGAACATGTTTGCGCAGCTGGAAATGAGCGAGACAAGCTCTGAAAGCTTTCACTCTTTCCGCCGACAAGCGGGCTGTAAAAGGCACCGAGTTTAGGCGTAAACCCAGGAAGAGTACAGTCTGTGCTGGGCACAGCATGGTCTTCTCTGTGTTTATTATGAAACCCAGGTTGAGCAGGTGCTTTACGAGGACATTTGTCTGCGTAATAGCCTCCTTCTCCGACTGTGCGAGGAGCAGCCAGTCGTCTAGGTAGGTTCCCAGGCGAATACCCTGTTGTCTCAACGGGCCTATCGCGGCTTCCGTACACCGTATAAACACTCTTGGACTGAGAGACAGCCCGAAGGGAAGTACTCTCTATTCGTAACAGACGCCCTGAAATGCGGACCTCAGATATTTCCTGTGTGGGTAATATACTGGGATATGGAAATACGCATCTTTCAGGTCGACTGATGTAAACCAGTCGTTTTGTCGCACGAGACGCAGCAGAGATGTGTGAGTGAGCATTCTGAATTTGTATCTTTTTAGATACGCGTTCAGAGCCCTCAAATCTAATATTGGCCGAACTCCGTTCCCTCCCCGTTTGGGAACGAGGAAATACTTGGAGTAAAAGCTGCTCTGACTCCGCTCGGCGGGTATTATAGATATAGCCTTCTTTTCTAGAAGCGAGAGGATCTCTCTTTCTAGAATGTGGGCTGAAAGAGAGATCCTCTCGCTTCTAGAAAAGAAGGCTATATCTATAATACCCGCCGAGCGGAGTCAGAGCAGCTTTTACTCCAAGTANACATTACAGGAGAAAGGAAATACAGAAAAGCTTCCGTTGCAGGAAAGACGGCCGGCAAAAATCACCGACTGTGGAGGGGACTTTGAAACTCAAATTACTCAAAAACTACACAGTAAAAGTAGTTTATATTATTTTTGCAAGTAGTCTAAGAAGTACTAAGTACAAACATGGCAGTTTCATAAACTACTTATGGAAGAAATGTTTTTTATCCCACGTTAAAGTTAGACAAAAATGCTCCTTCTTGTTGTCTGGAGAGGACTTTGAAACTCAAATTACTCAAAAAGTACACAGTAAAAGTAGTTCATATTATGTTTGCAAGTAGTCTAAGAAGTACTAAGTACAAACATGGCAGTTTCATAAACTACTTATGGAAGAAATGTTTTTTATCCCACATTAAAGTTGACAAAAATGCTCCTTCTTGTTCTCTGGAGAGGACTATGAAACTCAAATTACTCAAAAAGTACACAGTAAAAGTAGTTCATATTATTTTTGCAAGTAGTCTAAGAAGTACTAAGTACAAACATGGCAGTTTAATAAACTACTTATGGAAGAAATGTTTTTTATCCCACGTCAAAGTTAGACGAAAATGCTCCTCCTTGTTGTCTGGAGGGGACTTTGAAACTCAAATTACTCAAAAAGTACACATTAAAAGTAGTTCATATTATGTTTGCAAGTAGTCTAAGAAGTACTAAGTACAAACATGGCAGTTTCATAAACTACTTATGGAAGAAATGTTTTTTAGACCACATCAAAGTTAGACGAAAATGCTCATTCTTGTTGTCTGGAGGGGACTTTGAAACTCAAAAAGAACACAGTAAAAGTAGTTCATATTATGTTTGCAAGTAGTCTAAGAAGTACTAAGTACAAACATGGCAGTTTCATAAACTACTTATGGAAGAAATGTTTTTTATCCCACATCAAAGTTAGACGAAAATGCTCATTCTTGTTGTCTGGAGGGGACTTTGAAACTCAAATTACTCAAAAAGTACACAGTAAAAGTAGTTCATATTATGTTTGCAAGTAGTCCTAGAAGTATTAAGTACAAACATGGCAGTTTCATAAACTACTTATGGACGAAATGTTTTTTATCCCACGTCAAAGTTAGACAAAAATGCTCCTTCTTGTTCTCTGGAGGGAATTTTGCCATTCTCAAAAAGTACACAGTAAAAGCAGTTCATAGTATTTGTGCAACAAGTTTATGAAGCAATAAGTCCTAACATTATTCTCATAAATTACCCTGTTCCTCAATCGCAAATAATAGAAATGAACCACATGCCATCCTTTACTTTGAAATCCAGCTTCCCAGAGTTGTTTTATTGCATTACCGTAAACCTGTAACTAATCGCGCACTCGAAATACAGGGGCGGCTGGTTTGACCACACAAAAGTGAAAGACGGCTGGCTTGACCGCAGTGACTGGGGTACGTTGTAATGTGATTGTACATGTTATTAGGAGAGTAGCGAGTGACGCAATTTATAGTTTGAATTTGTACGTCACCAGGTGTAGGACTCAAAGGACTCGGGTTAATGGAGAGGGGAGACTCGTCACTCCCAGGAGTAGGATCCGGGTTAATGCTGCTGCTTAACACACAACTGACGATGTTCATATGCAGGTCTCATGATATAGTACCAGGAAGCGTTAACTATGTTAGCATGTTTGCTATTAATGTGGCCATCCAGCTATCATCAAGATAATATGTATACGATATATTATGACTAGTGGCAGTTGAGTTTCAGTCTACAGACGGTGTTCTCTGTTGTTGATAACTTACAGGAAGTTTTTCATGGTGAGGCGAAATATCGATCCCTCCACAAAACGACCCTCCACTCCGGTCCCATCGGGCTGACTGTCGTTTAACAAGTTCGCTATGCTGTTGGCAGTCTGAGAGCCAAGTCTTTGTCGCGGTTTTTTGCTGGACGCCGCCATGGTGAGTCAAAAGAGAAGACTGCCAAGCGAACAACACAGCACGGGTGAGTTCGTTGTTATAAATGCATGCATTCAATCCCGCGCGCTTCCTCCTGGTCTTTACTGAAAGCTGGTTGGACTAAAGAGGTCACGTGGACGTGCCGCCGTCGTCCAAGATAACGTTCATTATCGCGAGATACAATGCACAAAGTGAGTCAACCTCTGCATTTTTTGTTTCACTTTATTATTAGTTTTCAGAGTGATACTTACTATTTTGACGGTTACAGGTATTAAGACATGATGAAAAAGCAATATTGTAAATGAGGTTCCAGTTCAAATATAAAGTACAGTAAAATGTATATATATATAATATAATGGAATATAAAGACTCTCCCTAATACATCCATGGATACAGCATATAACCAACTCATATGTATTTACTAGTGGAAAAATGATGCAGTAATTGCATTGATGTAAACAAAACAAAAACATGAAAATAAATGAAACCGCCATAGTAAAAAGACGTGAGGTTATGTGTGTGTATGTAGTTTTTAAGACAATATGTAGGAGAAGTGTAGACAAGTGTGTTTTCATAATATATAAAACATTTTGTGGTTCAGTTTAATTGTATTGAATCAAACCGGGAGGTTTCTACACAGTTATATTTGGGGTGGACAAAATATTAGAAACAAGTCAGTCAGGTAGGATTTATTGCAGGGCATTTTATCAAGAGTGAATGTATCTTACCCAGGTATACCTGATGAAACTGGCAACCAAGTGAAAACTCACAGGACAATATATGTTTATTTGTTTCCCCATGTTTATTTTAAGACGATTCTGACTGGTAGTAGACATGGAATCAAATGAAGGATGTTAGGCTACATACTATAGACATATTTTGCATAAATGCACTAACAATTGTTCAGCCAAAAGCTAATGGGGTGGGGATATTCAAAGTTCTTCATTTATAGTTTTCCTAGCAAACATTTCCTCCTTGTGCTTTCCCAGAGGTATAGAAACACTAAAGCGGCACATGTTGTACTAAAATAAACTCAGTTACACAATTGCTTCCAAAAAGACGACAGAAGCTTCTTTGTGGCTTTATACCAAACGTTTAAACAAATTGCTAAAGGAATCTCTTCTTAACAGCCAGTATGGATAGGATGAAAAACTGCTGCATCGACATTTAAATTCATTTGTGGGTAAGGCTTCAACAAAGAATGTGAATAATGTTAACGTAAAGTGGGGCAAACAGTCAGCTACAATACTTGGTTTTAGGAAAAAAAAGTAAAGCTATTCTAATTTAAATCAACCCCTCCCAACTTCACGAGTGGGGGAAAATAACTGCATAACAAAACATGTTCGCCTTCCGTCTACCACTCATTATCACGAGGTACATTTAAATGTCTTCACCTCTTATATTTTGAATACTCTAGCTCTACGTTTTTCCCGCGTATTCAATGTTGTCCAAAGTCTTATTTTTGTAAAGTATTACGCATTCCCTTCGAGTCTGAAGAATGCTCAACATTTGAAAGTCTGTTACCGCAACACCTGAAATGTACCTTCTTGAACTCTTCACGGGTACATCTTTCTAAACAAACTTACTGTACCATAACTTTAATAGGCCTAAAGCTAATTATTTTTCACCTCCGGGTTGTAGTAAACGTCCAGACAGTTTATCAGTAAAACAAAAGCGGGCAGGACCTTAGAATATGACATTGTGTTTTTGCAACAATTAAAACTAGCGGTGCCTCTTACTGTATATCAATGAGCTTCTTACGATCAATATCCGTCCAGGTACCTCACGCTGCTTCTCGGTTGTGGTTAGATCAGAATCGCTTCTTTACTCAGTGTCCGTCGTGAAGCTTGAGATGAACCCAAACTCACTAGAACTAGTATATCTGATCAACTCATCATCTCTGACCACAACATTGAAGCGTGGAGGCCCTCGCTAACATATCGCATCTACTCATCGCCATAGAGGCTCGAGAGCGCTTTTCCTATCATTTCCAGTCGGAGCAGAGCCAAACTCAGACCAGATCAAATAAGATCACTGTGTAGATTTAGGAGGAACACATTCACACACTCAAACATACCACATGTACTCACACAAACACTCGTCCAACACGCTCGCACCATTCAAACGCCATTCAAACTGTGAGCGCGAAGAACATCCGGGTCGGCTTTAAAGCTAAATGCCGCAAGGAATCATGGGACATGGAAAGTAGCATGACTTTTGTGAGCATAGTGACCTCATGTGGCCATTAATGGAAAATACATGTCCTAATTTGTGTCTGTTTCTTTCATTAAACAAGCTAGTCTATGAAGACAACTGTGGAATATACATATAAAACTGCCATTGTCATTTGATCTATGAACAACTTTCAATCAGCCATTTGTGAGGAAAAGGCTCACAAATCACCTGAATCACTGTAAATACCTTCTGAATTTAAGGTTTTAAATATACAGTGGCTTAAGAAACACAAATGTGAACCATTCATTTTTTGAAAGAATAAACTGGTGATATTTTTACACACACTTAAACTCAAACACATACACTTTTCTATACTACTTTACTATTAATTGCAGTGCAGAATGTTTTGTATGTTCTGTGTTTTTTTTATCCTGAGTCGGTTTAATCCATTTGTTTGTTTAGTTTTGGTTCGAGCCTTAAAGGCCTACAAGTAAACAGGACTTTTATTAAGCATTAGCTGGAAACCTTGTATCCATTGCATTGTTAGTGCCTGCATTATAACATTAACATCCAATTAAATAAACAAACAAATAAATGATAAAGATTGTGCCACGTCATTTCAGTTTTAGTGCTGATCAGAAACCACATAATAGCTACTGTAACCTAGATTGTGACCTGAAACCGAGTTTTAGAAATGTTGATTAAGCACATTTAGAATAATTTCCATTTCAATGTAAAGTATTGAGTAAAGTATCCATCTCAATGTAAAGTATAACTAACCAAGTTTAAATACAGCAAATACAATGCCAAAAACTACTCATTGCAAATGATGTGTTTACTTTGAATATCTCTAATAGAGAACTATTATTGAGTGAAAAATCTACTTCACCAAACAACATGTTGTTTGAGTTGACTTGTTATAGTGCCGTGTTAGATCGGTTTTAAGCTGCACTTACGTCTGCAGCAGCCACCTAATCTAGCATCCTATTCCCTGTGGGGGTTGTGCAGTAATCTTGAAAGCGTAATAAGATTTTAGTGTACAGTAACACTTTTGACTAGAGCTAGGTGGCACATTCATTCTGAGGAGCCCTGATCAACAATTCTTGGATTCAGCAAAGAAACAGACAACAGATAGACGATGTGAGGAGATGTGATTATTTTTAACAATGGACTAAGAAACACCGTTACTGCACAGAAACAACGCACCTACAACTTCCTTCCATGGCGTCAACTCCAAAAAAAGTGAGTTGTTTTATCTCACTTTAGTTTTATCTCGTTAAGAAGTGGGTAACGCCTGATGGCCATCTGTCAGAGGTTTAGTTTACTTCTGTCAGACTGTTACTGTATTTACAGTTGTTTCTTTTAAATTCTATGACCAATACACTAATATCCCTCTTTATATTATGTAGAATCATGTTACAGAATCATTAATTTATGAATCCCTTTAGGAGAATCAGGCAAGCATCAAAAGTGTTTCTATCCATCCTACATTGATTCTTAAATTATTAACCTCACGCAGAAATACTGTTGACACCACATGCTGCATGTAGACGTGACTTATCTTTGTCATAATGAAAAACATTAGTTCTGTGCATATGAAAACAAAACAACCATTTAACCAAAAGTATAGGGTCAGCTGTTTATAGCATTTCAGAGCATCTGTTCTAGAGAGAAAGACAATTATGAGATTAGGTGGAGCGATTTTTCTGGAATCAATCCCAGCCCTGCAGGCTCTGACTGGAACAATGGCGTGCAGCAGGTCAGACGCACGTCAGGTTATCTGTCAGCTCTAAACTCTCTGCTGGAGCCTGAGGAGGGACAGGATCTGGAGACTTAAAAGTCTCTGACAGGAACATAAAAAGACACAAACAGTATTGGGCCCCTGGAAGCCCAGAAACAGAGCTCAGTGATCTTATGGTGAGCTGTGAGGCAGTTTATTAAAGAAGCATGCTTGACTTACAGCAGCATCTACCATCTGTTACTCCCTCTCCTCCTGAATATCGGATTTCAGCGGGTGTGGCAAAGGTTTCTGTCTGGTTGAGTTACAGGCATACCAAGTGTTCATCTTGTGTTCCTAGGTGTAAGTACATTCAGATCCTTACATCATTTTCTTTTTTGAATGAATGGGACAACGTTGGTCCTGTTTTGATCCCTGTCTGACAAAAAGTATAATTAATGGTAACATATTTGGCTCAGCTAGTAACAATAGAATACTTTAACTACATACTAACAGAATGTTTCTTCATTTTTTATTTTATCTTTTTAAACCTACAGAAACCAGGATATGGAAATCACAAGAAAGGTATTTATCACACAAAAGCTGAACGTAAATGGAAATAGTATTCTAAAACAGTTGATTATACTGATAATTAGAATATTTGATTGATAGAAAGGGTCACATGCTTACAATCTTATATTTAAATGCTTAACCTACGAGATTTATCAAGTAGATTAATCAATGCATTTGAATGATTAATTGATCTATAATCATCTGTTTGAAGAATAAATTAGGAATGATTTGATATAATTATCTTATACCTACTTGACATACATTTGATTTAAATGCTGTTTACTCTTTAATTATATTTGTAAATACTTTGTGGTTAAAATCTTAAATTAGCAACGTCAATGATGCAGTAGTTTTAAACGTTTGTCTACTGATCCATGTCAAGACTTCTCAGAAGGAGTGTTCAGATCTGAGGAGGTACAAGTAAAAGGAAGAGATACAGTATGAGTTGTTTTGTGTTCCTTAGAGGCGTCTGTTGGCCGCCAGCGTCTGTCCCGTCAGTCCACAGCAGACGGCAGCGGGGACGAGGCCCTCCAGCCCCGCAGACTGAACGGCTCCCCAGTGTTGGTGCCGAGCTACCAGAACCTGCACCGGGAGCTGATGCTCAGCCATAAACGGTACAGGAGGTCCAGCACATAAAAACAACAACATACCTGTCTGAGCTTAAAGGTCCCCTATTATACTGTTTTTTATCAATATAATATAGGTCTCAGATATATACAAAACATGTCTTCAAATACCAAACAGAACATGTAGCATCCCATAAACCCCTCTGTTTCAGCCCTGTTTCAAAAGTGCTGATTCTCTGTCTGTTACTTTAGATGAAAATAAGGAGCCCCTCCCCACGCCCCTCTGAGAGATATTTTGGTTAAAAAGAACACAATGGTGCTCTAGGAGGAGATTCAGGTGATAAGGTGGTTGGTTATTGGCTAATGGTTACACAAGCCAAAAAATCGTTATGACATCATAAAGTGGCCAAAATCTGCTCAGCTCATTTTCAGACAGGTTTTTATATAAATGGATCAGGACAAAAAGTGAAAAATCTTTTTTCCTGAAACTTTCAGAATCTCTTTCCACAGAGGGGACACATGTTTATGTATAAAAGACGTAAAAAAGTGGATTTTGCACAATAGGTCACCTTTAATGTGGTCAACATTTGAAGCAGAGCATGTTGGACTGTGTGTGTAACTGTGACTGACTGACCCTGCAGGGGCCTGTTTCCTGAGGAGAGACCAGAGCTGAAGCGAGTGCTGGAGCAGCGCAGACTGGAGCTGCACAAGGAGGAGGAGCTGGCCAAACAGCGGCCCTCGGATCTGGAGACAGAGCTCCGCAAGAGGCAGCAGAAGATGCAAGACGTAAACAGAAGCACATAACAAACAGCTGAGAGACAATAAAGGAGCCATAAAGTACAAAAACATTCACTTTGGCCAACTCATACGGGGGCTGTTTTAAGTGTTAAAACAAGGGATTTCCAGGGTCAATACCAGCAGTTAGTCTGCTCTAAAACATAGGCCTACTGCACTGAAATAAAACTTTTAGGTATTTAACTTGAGTATTTACTTTTTCTGCTACTTGAAACTCCCACTTCATTCAATTTCATAGGGAAATAGCCAATCATGCTTAATACTACATTTAATTTATACGACAGGGTAAGGTGTTCATTTTTAAATATAGATCTAACATTTAAAGAAAAACATATGGTTAGCCTAAAAATACAATGCATTGTTATTAAACCAGTTTTTCCCAAACATATTAGCTTGTGGCCCATTATAAAAAAAAAAAAGCTACAACAATAAACCCATAACAATAGGTGCAATCCCAAGGTTTAAAAACAACTAACCACATTTTTAGGCCAAATCTGACATTGTTATTTCCCAAAAATATTGAATTCTTGGTGATTGAAATGTTGTTTCTGGTCTTGGTCTGGACGAGGATGAGGTGCATGACACTGACTTTTCTTTTGTCTTTCCAGTATGAGCAGGAGGAGATCAGGCAGCGGGAGAACCAGCAGAAGATCCCGGAGTTTGTCCGTGTTAAGGACAACCTGAGGCGGACACAGACGTGAGGCCCCGAGCCTCCCATCAGCCCCTGAAGTATTTCACCATAGTGGCCCAATTCACATTGTCAAACAAAATTCAACAAACAAAAGCATCACAGGCATCATGTCATTACACATTTCTTAGAGAATTCAATTTAAACATATTATAATTAATATAAGGATCATGCAGAAAACATGTTTATTTCCAGAAAGCAAAGCCATGTCAAGAAAAAGACAGCTTGCAGCATTTTAACTCTATTTTTGTCAGGGGTCTTTGTGCGACCCGTTTAACTTCGTTACAGTTCAATTTCGGATGAGGGAGTGAAAGTACTTATTTTGTATTTATAATTATGTGGATCAACAATTGTTGAGGACCAGAAGATGGATATTTGTTATGTTTTTTTATGGTGATTTACCTATTATATTGTTCAACTTCTCATACTTCCTCTTGGATTAACGTTTGTTTAGAGTACGGATCACATCCTTTTAATTCCATTTACTTTTTGTAAGGTCACTACACAATTGTTAACAGAGACAGTTCTCAGCAGAACCGTTTTCTATTAATAGAAATCCCCTACAATGTGCATGTTTGTGTATCTGTTCCTGTCATGACTTCTGGATTTTAGTGTGTCCATGTGCTGTGGAAATAAAATACTTTATGGTTTGCAAAGATGTGTTGTTTTGTTACAATTCAAAGCAGTTGCGATTGATTTGCATGCATCTCTTCTCCCTGAGGACTCTCGCGCTTCTTTCACATGGATATTGGACTTTGTTTAATTAGCTGATCTTTTCATTCCATCACGGGACGAGAGGAGAGAGCTCAGGCCATCTGGAGGAGCCTTTTCAGGATATAGAGGCTAAGAATACCCAAGGGCCTGGTTAAGGAACTGGAAACATTTGGGATAGTCAGGGAAGCCACCGGCTATAGGCAAATAAAAACAGCCTGTTTGTTTTGTCAGAATTACATTTAGACTTTATACATAATCAGTGGGAAAAAGAGGTAATCAGATCTTAATTTAAATAAGGAAACTTTACTTGTAAAGAATATAAAAGGAAAAAGTACACAATAGGTTTGTCATTATTATCTACACCATTTAATATTATGAGATTATTGATACTAATACATTAAGCTCTAATGCCATGGAATAAACCTCCCTAAATGTCACCGTACTTTTAGAAATTAGCCATGTTAAAAATAAAAATAAAACCCCAAATGTACAGACTAGCATTGTTTAATATGTCATTTTATTTTCTCTTTTCGTGGTCGATCTTTTACATTATGTTTTGTCTCTCTATTTTTGACATCTTGAGATCCCTGTTGTGTTTACATTTTCTGTGTATGATGTTCACTTAAATCTATGTGGCGTTGTTATCTGTTAGGCTACTTCTAACTAAAATGTTGAAAGGCGTTTAGAATAGAATATATTATTAATATTATTAAAAAAGTCTGATATTCTGCAGCAAAGAATATCTCTGTTACTTTGCAGATTGTATAATGTCAAAGATATGTTATGAGCAGATACAATATTATATGCTGTATAAATGTAGTTTTGATTATCCCCTCCTCAACCAGCAACTACATTTAAATGCTCCTTACAGATTAATAGTAAACGCATGATCCTATTTAGCTTTGAGTCTGGATGGTGGTGCTTTAACCACTTTGATACTCTGACCTGAGGGGTCTCGGAGCAGAATAAGGGGTTAAGAGTTCTTTAATGTAAAGTGGAGCCAGACCATGTAGGGATTTAAAATAAATCACTAGGGTTTTGATCTACACATCATTATTGATCATTAATAAGGGACTTTATTGGTCATTTAATTTATTTGTTTAATTGTATGTTCCCAGTCAATATTTATGTGGTACTACTATTGTTATTGAGTTTAATTAATGTGGGCCTGACTATTTATATTGTGAGTAAAGTGAGAATCAATTAACAATAGTCATATATTTGTATAGGTTAAGCTATAGCAGTTTATAAAGTAGGTCTAATTAACATTCAAGTGATGGAAACATTAATTTCTAAATGTTATTCGAATACGTAGGCTATATATAACCTAGCCTTTGATTCTGGAAAGGGGTATAGTGCATGATGACTACTTTTACGTTTGACTTTCATCGTGGCAAAAACAACAAAATGTATTTGTTTTCATCATCATCATGGCGGAAAGTCGGGTTGAGTATAGTCTTGTTTTTACCACCACTACTTACTCAACAGCTGTCCTGGCTTTTACCAAAACTTGTCTCTCCCCCCGGCCATTCTTGTTTTGTGCCTCTTTCCAAAGGAAAAGCCCCCTCAGTGGGTCGCATGCTGTGTCAATATAAGCAGAGCGTGTCTGGAGAGTTAGCAGCGTCGGACCAAACCATTTATGAAGAGTCTGGGGAGATCACCGGTACATGTTAATGTTCATTTCCTAGTTAGAAACTTATTTTAATGAAATAAAATCAATTCTGAGAGAGTATATCAAGTTTATAAGACAATGTAAAGGAACAATAAGTTTACTTGTGTGTCAAAAAATAAGTCATAGCAAATGTCTTTTATATGGTTCCCCCGTCACTGAAACAGTGGTGTTGACTGAAACAGATGTCCCAAGCGTCGCTTTCACATCTGAGCAGCAGAGAAAGTCTGAACACAGCGGAGAGGATGCTATCGAAGAGAAGATAATAAACTCAAGGTGAGTACACAATACTTTAAATAGGTTAACAACATTATATATAATGGGAGCATTACTGCAACCAGCATTAAGATAGGATGAAGTGTGTGATGGATGTTACAAATCGGTAAACGTTTTTGTAGCTCTATAGAGCCAATAGCCTAAATTAATTAGCTATTTGTGCTGCATTATATGAGTCTTTAAACATATGATTAATATTATTAAGATAAGGGTGACTCTTCTTCAGTGTTGTAAAGTAACTAAAGTGCATTTGCACAAGTTATGTACTTCATTATATGAGTTAACGTTGAGTATTTACACTTTTACACAGGATTTAAATTGGACAATTCAATAACGTGATATTGCCTTTTTTTACTTAGTAAAGTAGTAGTTTCAGTCTTAGTAAAGTAACCAAAAGATCTAAAAGGGATCTGACTTCTTCATTAAAAAATGCAATTAAATATACATCAGTTCCTACTTGGAAGGGAGGTTGAGACTCTACACTGCAGAGTCTGCAGTGTAGTAACTTGTCTGTATTGTACCATGAGTATGCACATGTTGCTTTCGCTGATTAACAACTCTAATTTAATTGTGGCAGCAGGCTGGTTGCTGGCAGTTGTTTGTGCCCTCTGCAATAAACACAATCTCCATCAGTCCACATGTTGACAGACATGCAGTGCTACTGTGGTGTTACAGACAACACCTCTGTGTGGTTTTGCCCCCGCAGTACCCCTGTTATTTTATAAACGGTGGGTACTTGTGGGTGAAAAGCTGTAACCACTTCCTGCCACAACAGCCTGAGATGACCACCAGTGGCCATTCAGAGGCCTCAGAAATGATGACTCAGAGGGACAAGGTGTCATGATCCCTGGGCAGCCCTTCAGCCTCTAGGGAACAATGGAGCATCTCTTCTTGCGTTCTGTATTTACGCTGTCGTTTGGCTGGGACAGAGCTGGTGTGTCTGGCCAGCATATGGCCTCCAGTGACTGAGCGCAGGCCGGTATGGTGCTTATTACCCCTGCATTGTCTCTGCTGGAAAACGAAGACCCCTGCACTTCTTAACAGTATTGTTCTGACAAAGAAAAGAGCCCTGCAGTGTCGCTGTCTTTGATACAGACTACTCAAAATAACCTTGGCTTTTTATGCTATCTCTGCATGTTGACACCATTGGTGGACGAAAAACTTTGATCTTTTACTTTGGTATGGTAAAACTACAGTCTTATACATTAGTATATACTATTGGATTGCATTATAAGTGTGATGCATTCATGTGTTTAATTCTGCAGCTGGTAAAGATACTATACTACCTCATGAAATACATCATCATGTATTGGTTTAGTTTGTTATACTTTGTATCAATAATCTGAATCTAAAAGTACAGCTTTGAAATACATGTAGTGCAGTTAAAGGGACAGTATTTGCTTTCAAAATGTAGTAGAGCAGAAGCATAACTTAACACGTAATGGAAAGTAAGTTCAAAACATGATTAAATGCACTCAGTTACTTTCCACCACTGTTTGCTGCCGTCTGTGCAGTTTTACACTCAGTAACAAAGATCTGACTCCAGTGTTCCAACAAAACACTTTCTTTTTTTTGTCCTCCTGCCGGTCTCCCACATTGATGCACTTTTCTTCCAGCAGCCCATATTGTGTGCGGAGTGGATCCATTTTGCTGAATGGATTTTGGCTTTTTGTCAGACTCTGAAATAAGGCATGCTGTAAAGTCGTTTGGTTTCTTCCATGGTATCAGCACTCAGTGGAGAGTCTTAATTACAGGGTTTGAACAGGCCTCGGTCTGGTTTCAGGCATCCCTCACTGTTTCCCCGGCGAGGCTGCATGGTCCCCATTGGCAATTCCAGGGCCGACCACAGTGGTAATGAGCGCGGCGGTGGTGGCAGCATTCCAGGAGATCGCAGCTCCAAAGGCTCATGGGAAAGGGTGGTGGGGGGAAGTCTGGGAGACAGTGAATCCACATCATGATCTCTTGCCATAAACACCCACTTCCGTAGATGATACACGGTGACGGTCTGATGAGTGGCGAGGATGGGAGGGATGGTCCGCTCCCATCCCTGACACGTTTCTAGATAGACTTAATTAGTAATGATCACATGCCCCGCAATCAAGATGTTTTGACTACATCAATCAAGCCGGGTGGAGACTGTGCTATCAGCAGCTATCCCTCCAGGAAATGGCCTGCTATTCCTGTTACGCTCAATCAAGAAAAGTATTGTTTTTTTGGCTCTCATAGAGCACTCCCTCAAGCTTGTATGTAAGCTATGACAAATGGCATCAACATCTTGGCAATACGCTGCAACTTCTGGTGAGATCTGCTGTTTTAGTGAGATCTGCTGTTTTTCCCAAAAGCACCCACCCACTCACACAGCCTAGACCTCCGACCACAGACTCTTGTGAAAGTCTTCAGAGAGTTATGGGGTGTAGGTGGGTAAATCCTGCAGTACCCTGCCTGTCTCTGATTACTAGGCTGGATTCCTGTTGACGTCTTTAGTTTGAGAACGCTGCAGCACGGAGACATGTTTCTGAGCGTGCAGCAGACCTCGCACAGTAAAAACTCAGCACTGTTCCTTTCCCCATCTCTCACTGCAGCCTTGTCTCAATATTGGCCCCACAACGAGTCGTCAGCAGATATGGTGCCCACAGCAGATTATTGAGACTGGTCGGTGGATACAGGGCCTTTGTTGCAGTGTTGTTTTACTGACTCGAGCAGCCTGTGCCTCATTGTACTTTACAGCTGTTCATAGCTGCGTCAGTTCACATGAGTTGCGGTGGTGAATGGGTCAGGCCGCTGAGATCCACAATAATATCCTGTCCACCTCCGTGTCCTCCTGGTCCCTACAGGAAGGCCTGATACCAATCTCCAAACACAGAGGATGGGACATGAGCTGAGGATTATACATGGCCGCCTTATGATCACAATCATTTATACCATGTCTGTTTTCATCTAGCCTTCCCTTTTATTCCGGACTAGAGCTGCGAAGATTAGTCTA